GCCACTGCACTCCAGTCTGGGCGATGGAGTGAAACTCCAACTCAAAAAAAAAAAGAAAAAACATGCCAGGCACAGTGGCTCATGCCTGTATACCCAGCACTTTGGGAGGCAGAGACGAGAAGATTGCCTGAGCCCACGGGTTTGAGACCTAGACAACTAGGCAAGACTTCATCTCTACGATAAATCAAAACATTAACCAGCCATGGTGGCTTACACCTGTGATTGCAGCTACCTGGAAGGCTGGGGCAGAAGGATCGCCTGAACCCAGAAGGTGGAGGCTGCAGTGGCCATGAGCGGGCCACTGTACTCCAGCCTGGGTGACAGAGTGAGACTCCGACAAAAAAACAGTAATTTAAAAAGCTGTAATAGAAATGTCTTAGAGACTAGGTGTGGTGGCTCATGCCTGTAATCCCAGCACTTTGGAAGGTGGAGGCAAGAGAATTGCCTGAGTTCAGAAGTTTGAGATCAGCCTTGGCAACTTGGCAGCACCTTTTCTCTACAATAAATCAAAAAATTTGCCAGGCATGGTAACACATGCCTGTTGTTACAGCTACTTGGAAGGCTGAGATGAAAAGATCGTCTGAGCCCAGCAGGTTGAGGCTGCAGTGGCCATGAGTATGTCACTGTACTCCAGGCTGGGTGACAGAGTGAGACTCCAACACACCCTGTCTTAGAGATGTCTTAGTCAGGCCGGGCATGGTGGCTCACACCTGTAATCTCAGCACTTTGGGAGGCCAAGGTGAGGGGATTGCCTGAACCTAGGGCTTTGAGACCAGTTTGGGCAGCTTGAGACCTAGTCTCTTCAATAAATTTTTTAAAAAATTAGCTGGGCGTGGTGGTGGACATCTGTGGTTCCAGCAACTTGGAAGGCTGAGGCAGAAGGATCATGTAAGTCCGTGACTGTGCTGCTGCACTCCAGCCTGGGTGGGTGACAGAGTGAGACTCGGACTCAAAAAAAAAAAAAAAGAAAAAGAGGGAGGAACCTCTCTGGGGTCCCTTTTATAAGGGCACTATTCCCATTCATGAAGGCTCCACACTCATGGCCTCATCACTTCCCAACGGCTCTACTTCCTAAAAATACCATTACATTGGTGGGTTAAGATTTCAACATGTGAAGGGGGGTCACACAAACATTTAGTCCATTATAAGAATAAGGATAGAGATTAATCTTTGGAGAATAAGGTGATGACAGCAAGTATAAGATCTCTGTTTTATCATTGTTGTGTAACTTTGACCAAGGTACTAAACCACACTGCTTTATTGCCTTTCTCTTAGTCTCATCCCACAATGAGAAACTTGGCCATTCTTTGAAGCAGGCTGTGCTGCACAGCATTAATGGCTTTCTTATATAAAAGAGAAGGAAGAGGCCAGATGCAGTGGCTCATGCCTATAATCCCAGCACTTTGGAATACCAAGGCATGAGATTACTTGAGCCCAGCAGTTCAAGACCAGCCTAAGCAACATAGTGAAACTTTGTCTCTACAAAAAAATTAAAAAATTAGCAGGGCGTGGTGGCAGAAGGCATTTCCTTCTCCCAGCAATGGAAGTGAAAAATATTCAGACTTGGAGTATTTTAGAGAGATTTTCTTGGGGTGATTTGGCTGGCTTTGCTCTGCAGTTGGTATACTTGAAGCAGTTATAGCCAATCTCTTCTCATGATAATTGCCGTATCTTTGTTACTCCCATTTTCCTCTGTCATGGTTACCTCCACAGGGATCCTCTAAGTTGAGGAAAGATTTTCTGATGTGACCTTGTGATCATCATAACACTTGACTGGGTCACCTTCTTACCTTAGCATATAAAGTTCTTTATATTGTAGCTCTATGACCTCTCTAGGTTCTTTTTTTTTTTTTTTTGAAGTGAACATAATCTCAAGATTTTATTCTCTTCATAATTATACAAAATATGACATTAGAACTGGATCACTTGGCCCTTTCTCCTCTTGTCCCCTACCAATTCAAAATGCTTGCATCTCTTAATAGTCAGCATTCTCTTAGATCTGCAGTTGGGCCCAACGCACTCAAACCTTAGCACAATCTTCTTTGTAGTTTTAGACTTTTTCCAGAAAATCAGCTTAGTCTGCTCACTATAGCCACTTTGCTTCCTGTCATAATGCCACTTTCCCAGGGCATACAGAGAATCCTTGCCCTTCATGTACTGTGTCACTTTGTGGGGTTGGTGCTTGCCCCACTTCTTACAGAAAGTCTGGTGAGTTTCAAGAATATTCACCAGACAACATCTTTGATGCAGAGGGAAAAGATTAACCTGGATGTTCCCCAACCCCCTCGCCAAGGTCTTATCATGTTTTGTTGTTTTTGAGTTGGAGTATCACTCTGTTGCCCAGGCCGGAGTGCAGTAGCACAATCACAGCTACTGCAGCCTCAACTTACTGGGCTCAGGTGGTTTTTCCGCCGCAGCATTCCAAGTGACTGGGACTACAGGCACACAGTCACAACACTGTGCTAATTTTTTTATTTATTGTAGAGATGAGGTCTCGCCATGTTGTCCATGCTGGCCTTGAACTTGTACTCAGGCAATCCTCTTGCCTCAGCCTCCCAAAGATCTAGGATTACAAGCGTGAGCCATTGTACACAGCAGCCTAGTGGTTTTTTTGTTTTTGTTTTGTTTTGTTTTTGAGTTGGAGTCTCACTCTGTCGCCCAGACTGGAGTGCAGTGGCTGCTCCCGGCCACCGCAGCCTCGACTTCCTGGGCTCCAGCGATCCTTCCGCCTCAGCTTTCCAAGTAGCTGGAACTACAGGCGCGCATTATCACGCCCGGCTCATTTTTTGATTTATTGTAGAGATGAGGTCTCGCCAAGTTGCCCAG